GAGCCGGTCTGAGCCGTGGTGCTTTGCCCAGGAGAGAGAGAGAGAGAGAGAGAGAGAGAGACAGAGACAGAGAGACACAGAGACAGAGACAGACAACAGACAGAGACCGACGGAGGCAGAGGGTGACACACAGGCTCAAACGGCAGTCCAGAACGCGATGGCAGCCACCACCAGAGAAGACCTTGACTGGCATGCAAGCGGCTGGGGGCATGCTATCGCCCTGCTACTCCAAGATGCAGAAGAACTGCTGGATGAAGAGAGCAGTTCGACTTTGTCCACCCGGCGGATGTGGCAGCGCTAGATGCGGGCGCAGAAGAGATGCCACCTCCACGGCCGCCTGGGCCCACGGAACAGCTGGACCTCCTACTACGCGACATCCGGGCGGTCATGAACTTTGTCACGGCCGGAGGGGAGCAAGTACGACAGTTGCTTGCAGCGATCCGGGCCGGGAGACAACAAACCGAGGGGGAGAGCATCCAGGTGGAGCCAAACCACCGAAAAAGGGGAAGCTCCAAGCTGGAGACGCCGGAGTCGATGTGGCTGGATTCGGAGAATCGACGGTAATTATCTTTCCTGGGATGCTCAGGCAAAGAAGCATGTCCTCAACGAGAACCTGAAGCCCGTCGACCATGTGCAGGTGATGGAGACCCTGGAACGCCTCCTGGAGATCCTGCCGATGCCCAATGTACTTCATCGACTCGTCGAGGCTTCTTACGGAGATCTCAGAGGCCCCGGTGGTGGCTTTCATCCCAGACATAGGACTAGGGGTTTGGAAGCCCAGGAAGCATACACCCTCCTTCGATCCCTGAGCCAGCTGTCTGTTACCTAGCCCCTGTCCCTCAATCTCCGACCGGACAAGCTTTAGCGTTCGGCCCTTGCCAGCCACATACAACTCAAGATCGCGAAGCTGTCCTCGCGATGAGGCTCGTCAAACCTAACTGCCTGGTGTTGGAGTAGCTGGCCTTATCTGCATCCATGAACAAGCCAGACCCAGCATTGTTTCCATGCTCAATGCGCGACCGCCCTACGCTGTTATGCATGTCCAAGGCTGGGCTCTATTATTGGCTGAATGGGCGGAACCCCAGGTGCAACATGACATTGCAAAGTTTGCACATTTAGTGGTGTCGGCCCTACATAGTGAATGCGTGTCCTAAATATCGCAAACCCGTGTCTCCACTCATGCAGGTGTTGAGATCCTGGAAACCGGTCAGACAGTCAAGATGGGTCTTGACCTCACCAGCATGACACACCCTGACATTCACAATCAGTGGTCCACTCAGGTGGGGACTATTGCCTATAGTGAGCCGCCAAAGCTTGCCGTATTACAGTTAGCCCGTTTCAAGGGCGCCGGCAAACTGAAGTGTTCGGTTGAATGCCAATTACTGATCTCATTTCCTGTCTTCTGCAACTCATACACGACTGAAGTCAGCGCTGAGCCCTATATTGCTTACTTGCTTCCTGTGTGCACCTGGGTGAGCAGGCCACGTCGGGACACTATCGGGCCATGCTATGGGATGCTGACTGCACTCGGTTTATGATTTCGGAGGATGGTCAATCTGCTGAGCCGACGACTCCTGAACAGGCTGATAGTATGCTTCGCAACAATTGTTACCTCGTTGTCTATCTTCAACAGTCTTGTTTGACCCGCTATCCACGCTGCATCCATCCTCTGGAGCTTGGCTCGGGATGGCGCTCTTTTGCGAGAGTGCCGACAAAGGCACGCCAATGGCCGGGCGATTTGAAAGAGACAAGCGATACACCTCCGCTAGGCCTCGATTACTCAGGCGGCCATCTCATTGTCAAAACCTATGTATGTATGTATGTATGTATGTATGTATGTATGTATGTATGTATGTATGTATAAGCATCTCGGCTCCATGAGGAACCGCGAACGAGTGTTTTGGATTGCGACTGACGGGCGGCTCTTTCCGGGGTTTGAGTCGGGCTGGAAGAGATCTCTGAGCGTCCTTTTGTGCTGGGGGTGGCTGGCTCGGCTCCTCTTCATGCGTATGGTTGTGCCATGGACACATATAGGGGGCTGCATGGCCGAAACAAGATCCCCAAATATGACACAATCATGCTCACTGCTGATCGTCTGCACATTGCTGTGGAAAACCATGTCTTGGGCTGCCTCACGAAACAGTGGCAGCACCTTACGACTGCAGCGCTCCGCCGTCGCCAGCAAGCCCTCGCGAGACGGTGGGCCACCTCAGGTGCCCTTGGCATTTGGCTTGATGGGTGGTTGTTACTTTCGAGTGCCTGGCGACTGCAACTACTTTCAGCCGTCCTGGCGGTTGATGCAGATTTCGGGGCCTCGGCTTTCTGTATGGCCTGTCTACAGGAATGTCCCACTGGACTAACAGAGCAAGCCTGAGCAGATCTCTACAGAGATCCTTGAGAGGAGCATGGAAGCTGTGCAAGCACCAGCATGGCCCCAGGACACAGCCCTTCGTCGATGTGCTGATAGGCCTTCTGCTAGTTCCGCTGTACATGTACGTGGCTCTCTTGAGTAGCATGGTATACCTGACCGGCATGATGCTGATCTGCTGGCCCACGGCCTCTACCTCTCCTTCATCGCCTACGGCAGCCAAGTGCCCCCGACATGTTCCGCAGCCCATGCCTTTGCTCTTCACACTCGGTCATGTCATACAGGTTTTTCACTTGCAATTTCACTTGCAGTGCAGTCGGCTCCTGAACAACATCGTTGCACTACGCCAAGGCTCAAGAGCAGGTGGATGCATGGCAGGCCCCTGGAGGGCGACGCAGCCGTGACATTAAGGCGATGGCCGACGACTCCCCAGAGGAGGATGCTCTCGTCTCGGAGCGCTCTACGGCCCCGGGCAAGCAATCTCTGGATACCTCGAACCGCATTGCCCAGCTGCTTCAACAGCGATCCAGACTTTGGAAGCTCGCGACTCAGTGGGCTAGCGGTATACCGCTCCGACATGGACTAATTAATCATGCTGGGGGACTAATACCCCGGTGGCATCCGAAGCACCGTGGGTGGGCCCAGGACTGGTCACACCCGCCACCGCCAGCCCTCAACAGGACAAGGCTGAGTTCATGACCCTCATCAAGAACATGAATGGCAGGGTCCTCAACACCTGGTCTCGAGCAGGATACCATGCCCGCACCTTTCTCCCTCCGGGAGCAGGACTGAGAACTCAAGGGATGCAGCTCGACTACATCATCACCCGAGGCGACCTGTGCGATGCTCAGGCCAGAACCGCCAAGCCATTCGACGCACCCTTTGTGCCGTCTAGCGGCTGCCGACACAGGCCGGTGAATGCATCGTTGCCTATGCCCCTGGCTCCCAGGACCCACAGGCAGGTGCCACCAGGCGGCTCATAGCAGCTCAAGTTCAGAAGACCATTCTCAATACGGAGGTGGTGGAGAAGCTTCAGCAAAGTGCCTATGCCTTGGAGCGGGACCGAGACTCGCTGTTAACCGATGTTGATCACGTGCTGCGGACAGGATGGGACCAAGCCCGCTTGTGCAGACCGCCGCCGGGAGACGAGGACCCAAACCCACAGGCGACAGCTCATCTCGTCACGGCACAGCTCGTCAGGCAGTTGTGGTTTTACCGTGCCCAAATTCGAGCACGCTCACATCGGGTACAAGCTCGAGGCCAGCCGGCCACTCTCGCGGAGCTTTGGGTTGGATGGCGATATGCCTCCAGGCCACCCAACGGGAGCTGCGACGACGAGGCCGATTGAACAAGATTGCCAAGATTGAGCATGCAGTGACCTCGGCCAATGCTTTTCAAGCAGCCAGGTGGTTC